GGCATGTGGTGCTGGGGGATTGAATCGCAGTCCCTGTGCTTTGCTAAGCTTGTTCTAAGTAGGTGCTTTAGACCACTGAGCCATCTCACCAGCCCGGGATCTCCTAATTGGCAGCAGCAGCACAGGTTTTGTGGGCAGCTGGCTCAGCCTTCTGCCCCATCCATCCCAACCCCCACCCACCATGCCGCACAGTTCTCACCCCAGAGACTAGTGGTGCCCTTACCTCCTGGCATTGCCTGCAAGCACTGACAGTGGCCCCTAGTCACTGGGACAAGCTCTCCTGCTTGCCTGCCCACCTGTCTGCCTACCTTCCTTCCTGACTGCCTGTCTTCCCTCCTTTCCTCTTGTTTTTCTTCCATCTCTCTTTCATCAGTACTGAACCAAAGACTTTCAACCCTGGGTCGCTCAATCCCTAAGCTGCCTAGGCTAGGCTCAACCCGGTGGTCCTCCTGCCTCGGCCTCCAGAGTGCTGGGGTGACAGGTGTGCCCCCCCCACCTGGCTTCTAGAACACATTCCTCTAAATGCTCCTGGAGGTGGGGTGCTGTTGCTTTGCACTGAGCGCTATGGGGCTTCCTCATTGGTGCTGTCTTTTCATGGTGGAGCGATACAGACTCGAGGAATGGGCAGCAGGTGCCATTTATTATAATACCACCCACAGGTGGCCACAGGTAGGTGTAGGTGGACAGGGGATGCTGGGAAAGTGTCACTTAATTTTTAGTAAAATAAGCTCAGAAAAAGCTGGAGGCCATGGGGCTGACCCCAGCACTAGAAGCCTGGAACAGATGAGGAGAGGTTGTTTTGAGCTGGGAGGGTGGGCATGGAGTAACTTTGGCACATGGAGCCAGTGCCATTTGCAGGGACAGGGTGCTGGGTTGGCACAGAGCACCTGCCCTGCTGATCCAGGACCTTGTGGGCCAGGGGAGCCAGCTGCCCTCACATGGTCATCTGCAGCCACTGCAGAGAGAAGAAAAGGCTGAGGGGAAGCAGGTGAGGTGGCCTCAGCAACCTGGGGTGGGACCTGGACACCCCTCGGCCCTTCCCACACACCTGCTCCAGGTTCAAGCGAATATAGCCGGTGTTTTTGGGGTCCATGGTTAGAAAGAACGCTGCATCAGAGAGGAGGCCAGGCACAGGGCTGAGAGCGGAGCCCGGAGCTGCAGGGCCCGCTCCCAGGTCCCAAGGGCTAGACTCTGTGTTCCTGCTGGGCTCACCCCCAGACCCAGACCAGATGGATGCACCCAGATGCACCTCCAGCATGGCTCATGGGCCTTGTCTGGAGCCAGAGTCAGGGCTCCTAACCCAGGCTTACGGCCCTCCTCCATACCTTGGGGCCATTTCCACCTTCACTCACTTTGTCAAGGGGGATAGAAGAAGCACTGGACAGTCACAACCCAGCAAGAAGTGGGCCCTGTGGGATCTGGGGCTCCCAAGGGCTGGGTGGGATGCAGATTGGGTGCCCACTCACTGAACATGGCCTTCAGTCTCAGGAAACAGCAGAGGAAGCTGTCGAAGTCCAGGGTCAGGTTGTCATCTGCGTACCGAGCCACCAGTACCTCTGCCACCTTGTTGTTCAACTTAATGCCTGGGATGGAGGGGGCAGGAGGGGGACAGTGCAGGCCTCTGGACATGGCCCCCCTGCACCCTGCAGCCCCACCTGCCCCAGCCACCTGCTTTCTCCACGGCCAGGCGCATCTCATAGGAGTTCAGGGTGCCTGAGTGGTCCTGGTCGCACTCTCGGAAGATGTCCTGAGTGTGGGGCGGCCGTGCGCGGGGTGTAGAGTTGGGATCATGAAGCACTGGGGGCCCAGTACCAATGCTGAGGCCCTAGCCCTAGCCCTAACCCTTGAGCTCCTGATTATCCAGGGACAGTAGGACTTAGGCTAAGCACAGCAGGGGCCACTGAAGCCCAGTGTTTTCTGTTGGCACAGTGACAGTGACCCTCAACCTGGCTATGCCATTTATTAAGTATTTGCAGAACGATTTTTTTTTTTTTTTGGCTGTCTCAGAATGCCTTTGGGGCAGGTCTGGTTGGCTTGAGTTCTGGGGATCGAACCACAGCAACCTGAGCCTGACTCCTTTTTCTTAAGCAGGCACTTGAATAACTGAGCTAATGGGCAGCCCCACCCCATTTATTAAGTATTTGATGAACGCTGCACCAGCCTCCTGTATGTGTGTGTGTGCTTCCTCCAGGACTCCTGTCTCTGCTTCACCCTTCCACAACCCTCCCCCTGAGGGCCTCCCTCTTGGGCCCCCATAAACTATCCACCCCCTCATTGCATTTTACCACCCATTTCTTGATCTTTTTCCACAGGATCTGGAACTCCTGAAGCCCCAGCTTGCCTGAGCCATCTTTCTGGGGGTCAGTCAAGGATCTTAGGGATGGCCATGAAGGGGATCCCCCAAGCTAAGGAGCCCAGGGGTTCACCACAGGATGCCAACTCCAGTTCTTCAGTGGTTACAGCCAAGAGGACTGGCATCTCTCTCTCTCTCTCTTTTTTTTTTTTTAAAATGGGGATTAAACCCAGGGTGTTTGCCCTGAGCTGTACCTCAGCCCCTTCAATGTTCTTTTAGTACAGGGTCTCACTACGCAGCTCAGACTCATAGTGATCCTCCTGTTTGCAGCCTCCCCAGTGCTGGGATTATAGGTGTGTGCCACTTGGTTGACATCTCAGCGTGCCCGGGGGCAGGGCTGGCAAGGCATGTGGGACTGGGGATCAAACGCTGGTCCCTGCGCTTACATAAGCAGGCGCTTAGTCTGCTGAGCTATCTCGCTGGCCCTCAGTGTTCTTATGTTGAGACAAAGTCTTGCTGAGTTGCCCAGGTTGGACTCAAATTTGCAATCCTCTTGCCTCAGCCTCCCAAGGTAATAGGAATACAAGCCTGTCCCACTGTGCCCAGCTAGGACCAGCATCTTTTGCTCTGTACTCCTAAGTTTCACTCTCATCCCAAAGGAGGCCATGGCTGGCCAGAGAGGTGGTGCCTTGGAGTCAGGTGTGGGGGTGTAGGTGGGGCCAGGGACATAGGACCCATGGCCCATGCACAGGAAGATACATCCATGAGATTGATCATACGGCGACAGGCGTTCAGGCCAAAGCCCTTGGTCTTGAAATTACTCACTGGGAGGGCAGGAAGGGGTAGGAGGAAGACTCCGAATGAATAGGGGGTCGGGGGGAGGAGGCCATGATGGGGCAGAATGCTGGCATTGGGCTGTAGGGTGGGCCAGAGACTCACATCTTAAGGCCAATCTGCTGAGTAGTGTTTGGAGCCTGTGCACATTTATTTCCTTGTCCTAGGAAGAGGGACCATAAACCCCTGTCCCCATCCCTCCACTGCGTGCAACCACCACTCTCCCTGCAGCTTCAGGTCGGCCCTCTCACCTCACCGGCCACCACAGTGAATAGACTGAGGATGTTCTGGTCCAGATCCTTCTCGGAGAAGGTTTCCTGGGGGTTGGGGTGGGGGTGCATGAGGTCCAGATCCTGTGCACATCCCCCCCCCCCGCGTCCCTCACTCCCAGCCAGGCCTCCCCTCACCTCCTGGAGATGCTCAGCATAGATGACTTCATCCAGTTCCCTGAGCGAGAGGGACAAAGCTTCTAGTTAGAGTGCTGGGGAACAGGGGTTACCTGGGGTGGTCCTGGGGTCCTGTCGTATCTCTTGAGCAATGTGGAAGAGCTCTGCAATCTGGGTGCTGGTCCTGCACCTAGTACCGCTCCTCATGCGGACCTCATCTCCCAAGTGTGAAGTAGAGACCCGGGGGAGGAGGAGCATGTGGCCCCTCCCTGAGCCAGCACGGCGCCACCCAGTGGGCCCGGGGGCTCTGGTGCAGCCCCGTGGGGCAGGGGGCTCTGGTGCAGCCCCGTGGG